GCTCTTTTTTGTGTTAATAGTTTTTTTTGCTCATATTAAGATATATTTACCGTTATATAGGAGTACAATTTGTGATTATTTAAAATTCCTCACCTCTTCCTCCCACCTCCTCTTTCGATCTCTCTCCTCCTTATCCACCTTACCCCACCCCTTCTCCCCTTCCTACACATTCGCCATCCCTTTTCCCCTCCGTCCCTTCCTCCCCCTCCCTCTCTCCCCTCCCTCCCACCCTCTCTTTCTTCCTCCCTCCCTCCCTTCCTCCCTCCCTCTCCCACTCTCTTCTTCTCTCCCTCCCTCCCGCCCTCCTCTCTCTCTCTCTCTCTCTCTCTCTCTCTCTCTCTCTCTCTCTCTCTCTCTCTCTCTCTCTCTCTCTCTCTCTCTCTCTCTCTCTCTCTCTCTCTTCTCTCTTCTCTCTCTTCTCTCTCTCTCTCTCTCTCTCCTCTCTCTCTTTCTCTCCTCTCTCTCTTTCTCTCCCTCTCTCTCTTTCTCTCCCTCTCTCTCTTTCTCTCCCTCTCTCTCTTTCTTTCCCTCTCTCTCTTTCTTTCCCTCTCTCTCTTTCTCTTTCTCCCTCTCCCCCCCCCCCCCTCTCTCTCTCTCTCTCTCTCTCTCTCTCTCTCTCTCTCTCTCTCTCTCTCTCTCTCTCTCTCTCTCTCTCTCTCTCTCTCTCTCTCTCTCTTTTTTCCTCCCCCCTCCCTCTCTCTCTTCCTCTCTTACTCCCTCTCCCCTCCTCTCTCCTTCTCCCTCATCCCTACCTCTCTCCCACTCTCCCCCTCCCTTCTCCTCCCCCATCTCCATTTCCATACCCTTCTTCCGTCCTCCCTCTCTCTCCCTGTCCCCCGTCCTCTCTCTTTGTGTCTGCTCTTCCCAAATATATCTCGCGCACACGTGTCGGCCAGGTTGTAAACAGGCGGCCTTATGTATACGCCGGTTCACTGTGGGCGGAGATCGGTTTGTATATAAGCTGGCTGGTGCGAGGCTGAGAGGCGGGCGGCGGTTCTCTGTCGTGCGGGCTTAAATCGAGTTCTTTTGGTTCGTTGATTTGGCTTGTATATGTGTTGATTATATTTGGGGTTGTCGCGTTGCGTTCTTTTCCGGGATTTTCTGTCTGTCTGTGTGTGTCTCTCTGTCTCTTTCTTTCTGTTTCTGTCTCTGTCTGTCTGTCTTTGTCTCTCTCTCTCTCTCTCTCTCTCTCTCTCTCTCTCTCTCTCTCTCTCTCTCTCTCTCTCTCTCTCTCTCCTCCCTCCTCCTCCTCCCTCCCTCCTCCTCTCTCCTCTTCCCTCCCTCTCCTCCTCCCTCCCTCCCTCCCTCCCTCCCTCCCCTCCCTCCCACTCCCTTCCTCTCCCTTCCTCTCCCTCTCCTTCTCCCTCTCTCTTTCTCTCCCTCACTCCCTCCCTCCACTTCTCGCCCTCTTCCAATGTCTTTTCCTCCGCCATCCTCCCTCTGCCCAGCCTCCTTCAGTCCTGAGATGCGCACACAACACCCACTGTGGCTCTGCCTTCTCCTATCAATCATTCCATTTCCCTCCGTTTATCTTCACCCCGTCAGAGTTGGGGGAAGGAGGTAGGGAGGGAGACGACAAAACACGTGGTCTTCAAACATCCGGTTTTGAGATGCTTGTGGCGGGAAAGGGATGAGAGGGGAGAGGAGGGGAGGGGAGAGAGGGGAAGAGGCCAAGGGGTCGGGGTTGATCTGTGGCCGATGGTGCCATATGCACTGCCATTGCTAAGGGAGAATCCTTTATATTTTTTTTCTTTTTTTCTTCTTCTACTCCTGGGCATTATTTGAATGAGTCGGAGAGGGAAACTTTGTATGTTTTTTTTTCCATTTATGCACATTTCCATCCGTCCTTTTTTTAAATTAATTCCCCCTGCGCGGTAGTAGGCAACCCTCCGTGTGTGTGTCTCCCTTGGACGTCGTGGGCGGGGGAGATGGGTGGAAGGTAGTCTTGTCTGTGTGAATGTGGGGCGTGCGAGGGTCGGGCATGGGCGTGAAGGGGAGACGTAAAGAGAGAGTAATTGAGATAAGCAAATGTGGGAAGGGGGAGAGAAAGAGATTTTCTTAACACGTTGAACATAGAAGCATTCGATATTACCAATGAAGTGGAGAATATTCAGTGGTTTTATTTGTTTCATTTTTTTATCATTCCCTTGCTGCTTTTCTCATGGTTTTCTCATCATATTGCGAGGCGTGGCTCCGGTGCAGACATACAGAAGGGGCCCCTTGGTATATCACACACACATTTGACAGACAGAGGCAGACAGACAGACAGACACGGATAACGATCATGAGCAGAAGATGAAGAGTAACAGGCAGAGGACTCGTGCCCAAACAGACCGAGTCGAAGATAGTTTGCATAAGTATTAGATGTCATTTGATATCCATTTTAAGTTATCCGCAAGTTTGTGATGCAGTGGACGAAGAATAATATCAACAAGTAACAAGACCATAAATGAAGTGAATCCCACCAGAATGAGTGAAATGTAGAATAGAGGGAAAGAGAGAAGGGGTTGAATTGAGCGTTGACCATCTAGAGTGATGGACAATATAATGATGACCTGCTGGCCTGACTTGTCCTGTGCAATTGAACTACCTGACCTATGTGGTGTATTTTACCTTGTGAGCGCCCGAGCTTCTGTTACAGGTTGCACGGAATTGCAAGTGTGTCGTCGTAGGCATTGTAGAATTATAAATTGTGAAAAGTGTTGTCGTGTTCCCTTGGTAGTTAATGTTGTGTTGTAGAGTTGATAGAATTGTATGCTTTTTGCGTTCTCTGAGGCTGACGACTCGCTCTACGTGGTTTTCTTAAATGGTTGATTGTTGTTGTTTTAGTATTGTGCTGCAGGCTTCATAGAATTATTTGTTTATATATATATATATATATATATATATATATATATATATATATATATATATATATATATATATATATATACATATATAGACACACACACACACACACACACACACACACACACACACACACACACACACACACACACACACACACACACACACACACACACACACACACACACACACACTCACACTCACACTCACACTCACACTCACACTCACACTCACACTCACACTCACACTCACACTCACACTCACACTCACACTCATACACACACTCACACTCATACACACACTCACACTCATACACACACTCACACTCATACACACACTCACACACACACACACACACACACACACACACACACACACACACACACACACACACACACACACACACACACACACACACACACACACACACACACATATATATGTATAGATATATATTTATTTATTCATTTATTTATTTATATGTGTATTTTTTTTACTGTTAATGCTTCATCTAACATTATCAAATGTTAACTGTTTGTCAAAATAACAGTGATTAGAAATTACTTGCTGTTTAAAGATGAAAAGACTGTGTAGATAAATGTCATATGTAGTCGGTCCATCTGAAAAATTGTGCTACTTTGATTATATCAGCAACTCTTTTGAAAGGAGAAAATAATGGAAAATGGTTAGAGACTATTCTAAAATAAGAACAAGAGAAAAAATTATATGTGTTCATAAATAGAATTCATATGTATATGTACATTGTACTTAGGTAGATATTTAAAAGATATGTTAATTGGTACCCTCTGCCACCCAAATGAAAGTCATATGCATAATAAGATTGCAAATTAAACCCAAATAATGTTTCTGTTTCTGTGACTCAAATTGGTCTACAGATCAGAGAGGACTTCACAATCAGAATTTTATCTCCTCCTCTTCTCTTCCCACAGTTCTGCACAACACCGGTGACTGTTGAAGGCATCGCGCCAGACCAGGAAAGCCATGGCACCGACCCAGAGCCCCTACCCCCACCCATACCCCCCCATGGCATTGACCCCGCCACTGTTGCTGGGGTTGACGTGGCCCAGGCTGCTAGGCCTCTTATGGACCCAGAGGTTATGACCCCAGAGGAAGCACAGAGGTTGCTGAGTGCCAAGTAAGTGTTCTCTGATGGCTGGCTGCCCGAGGTGAGCCGAGGGACGCCTTGTATCGAGGTAGCATTTGCCCTTAGAATGTCACATGAGCTTGTGTCCTTTTTTGTTTTTTTTCCTCTCCTTATCCGTACCATAACATATATTTCCAGCTAAATAGATGTTGGAACATTTTATTTAGAAAGTTTGTTTGACTCTTAATTTGTTTGTTGTTGTTGATGATTTTAGTTTGTGTATGAAGTATTATATAGAGACTTATCTGACTATAGTTTGATGATGCATGTTCTTTGTTAGTGAATATCTTGATGAAATGGTTATATATATATATATATATATATATATATATATATATATATATATATATATATATATATATATATATATATATATATATATATAACACACACACACACACACACACACACACACACACACACACACACACACACACACACACACACACACACACACACACACACACACACACACACACGTATATGTATATGTATATGTATATGTATGTAAGTATGATTTTATCCCTGCTAATATATCCCCTTGTAACTTTTAGTGCTAAATTGCATCCTTTTGTTTAATAATGTAGAAATAAACACATAAATGCTATTATTACGTTAAAATTCCATAACAAAAATAATGCAACCTATCTAGTGCACGATTTTATTTTCATTAATGTATTATCTCTGAATTCCTGTATTGATCAGTCCTTGCCATGTTCAGATGTGGCAGAGCATACATGGTTACTTGGAAGGTTCATGTTTAAAAAAAAAAAAAAAAAACTAGAATATGTTCATTGTTTATGTCAAGTAAAACTAGGGACTTTGCTTGGTAAATGATTCTTAAAACTTTCCAGTTTCAGTAAGAAGAAAAAAAATAATAATAATGAAAAAATAAGGAGGCTGAGTAATGAATAGGTGCATCAGCATTTTTTTATGGGCTGGACACCTGAAGATGGGAATACAAATTAATCACCAATTTGAACAATACACATCCTGATTATATAGTGCATGTGCATTAAAAATAGTCTTATTATATTAAAGAAAGTGGTAATGATAGAATATGAACTACTTTCCATAAAGTGATATCTTTCTTCTTTGATTTTAGTGAACATGAACCAGTCCACTTATATTTTCCCTTCCTTATTTACCAAAGAGCTTGAAGCTTGGCACTAACATTAAGCTTTTTCTTTTTGCCTGATGACTGTGTCTCCCCCCTCCTCCTCCTTCAGCATTGTGGAGGGTAAAGTTCGGTAAGTTTGCACCCTGACGCCGCATGAAGGAAGAGGGTACTTTGCCCTCTTTAAATGTCTTCTGTTATTTTGTTGACTTTTTGTTTTATTATTGTGAAAATTAGTAATACTCCTTGCAGATCTTTATCTAAAGTAGATTAGAAATCCTTCAGAAATAAATGTAGAAAAAAAATCAGATTGATCAAATATATGCAAACTCTTGTAACTTTCTTGCTCAACTCGCCTTCATTTCACAATTACATAACCTGATGTTCACTACCTTTCCAGGGAGGGCCAGACACTGCTCTCTGATGAGGAGGCCCAGGAAGTAGTTCTCCTGTTGTCCCCCCAGGAGAAGGATGCCCCGCAGGCTCCCCCACCAGTACCTCCCCACTACTCAGACATCCCTTCGATGGTTCCACCTCACTATGCAGATGTCACCCCACCTGTTCCTCCCCACTATGGTCCGGCAGAGGATGAGTACGACATGAGGTTGGCCTCACGCTTTGACCCTGCATTGACCTCACCACTGAGCCCTGAGGAAGAGCCCTCAGAGGCAGACTCATCAGAAGCCTCTGGTGACGTCTCCCAAGTCTCCCGTGCCAAGGAGGTTAGTTTGAAAGCTATGAGGTTACTGACTACTGAACATCAGTTGTCTTGTCTTTTTAATATTTTTTCAGATATTGCTTTTGGTGATTAGAAATGTTAAAAAAACATTATAAAAATTATAATGTTTATGATAAAAATAACACCATCGATTTTCTTGGCACTAGTAAAAAATACGTTTTTCCCACCATTTCAAATCAGGCGCTAGCTGAGCCATCTATCGGCAGACATTTCACGTAAAACATAGAAAGTGGGCACAGCATTTTCCCCATTTTTTGTTCATTTTCCCCAGCGGCATTGGGTTAAGAGGGTGATAAACCGTTTTCCTTGCATAAACTCCATATTATATCTCGAGGTAGTCTATAACACTATAAGTAATATTTAGTCTATAAGTAATATTTTGTTCTTTTTTCCATTTGTTTAAATTTTCATGAATCAAATTTTCTGTAATAAACCCTTCACGATGGGCAGGAATGTGATTCTGAGCATGGAAATAATTTTTTTCCTTGGAGCTGATGCACTTCTAGTCATAGCTCACGAATGGTACATTTCACTCTGCAAAAGCCTTGTGCACTTGTGGCAAGTCATCCTGGTCACCCCTGCCTTCCGCCCAATTTTTCATGAGTTTATTCATGTGCCCCCATCTCTTGGTCAGATTTGTCTACAATGACATGGCCTTATCATTTGTCCCTTAGCTTTTTTCTTTTTCATCATGATGTAATGGTCTTATCACAGGCATCCAAGGGGTTAATTTTCAAAATTATATTTTAGTAGCTTTATTTTGTTTTAATATAGGTTATTCATTTGATATGTATTCACTGTTTTGAATATCATAAACTTTATATGCATATATAAAATGTATATATTATATCTGAAAATGCACAAAATAAATGGGCTTCCTCCAACTACAGGTTTTGGTAGAAGACGGAGTTCACTACCTAGAGGATGGACACTTCTGGGTGGAGGTTCCTGGCCTGCCAGAAGAAGATGAAGAAGACGAGCTGGATCCAACACTCCCCTTCCACCAGCACACTCGCCTTACTTTCTCCAAGGATCCCATTCAGGTCTCTGAGTTTAGATATCCTAATTAGAAACTGAGACTAGTTTCTTGTTCTTGTTATTTGTATAAATAGCTATGGTCTCTGTTTTGGTAAAGGAATTTACACCTGTTAATTGATCACTATTTTATTTAAGATGAAATTTCTCTCGAGAGTTTAACCTTTCTCTCCAACAGGTATTCAGCACCTATTCTGTGACAGAGTATGACCGTAAGAATGATGAGGTTGACCCTGTTGCTGCCAGCGCTGAGTATGAATTGGAGAAGAGGGTCGAGAAGATGGATGTCTTCCCAGTTGAAATTGTAAAGGGTAAAGAAGAATTTCTCTCTCTGTGCATGTATTTATATCGTACAACTTATAGTCTAGTGAACAGTCATTGAAAAGAAGCAGCTGATAAGGAAGCTAGAAGCTCACCCAAAAATCTAAAAAACAAAATTAACAGGTGAAGGAGGCCTTGGTCTCAGCATCATTGGCATGGGTGTTGGGGCCGATGCTGGTGTCGAAAAATTAGGCATCTTTGTGAAGACCATAACTCCAGGTGGAGCCACGGAGAGAGATGCAAGAATACAAGTCAATGATCAGGTAAATCTCCCTT